CACCGCACATCAATAATAATAAGATGAAATTATTTGGTTCCTGACCCTGAACCACTTGTGAGGAGAGAAAATAATATACTTTCGTATATAACGTTGTTCTTATAAGCAATTGTTTAGCTATTAAGTGGAGGCACTCAATAAATTATTTTGCTAAACCAACTTTGATGTAAACCAACTTATCAAGATGAATTATCTTGAATGAAAAATCTAAAAATTATGCTCTAAATCAAATTATTGAGCAAGTTACCTCGCAAATATCATGTTGCGGGTTAATAATAATCGTACATGTAACCATCTCATGGATGCATCTTATGTGGTATACATGGCAGGTGAATGGGCCAATATTCACCTTTTATATTTCCAGCATTCATGGGATTCAATCCCAGTTTTAGTTGGTCTATTAATTAATGAGAACAAACCATATAAGAGAATTCGTAAAGAACCTTCTAGTTCTTTAATATTTACCCATGTGGATTCTCTTTTATTTTTGCACATCATACTTAAATTAATATGGCTAAACCAATTATGCCAACTGAATAAATTATCAATATTGATAAACTTCAGATTTACACATGACATGTGCATTATCAATAAACATCCACTTTATTGTGGCATTCTTTCATTTATGTAGTACAAATTGAAGAATAAAGCGGGTAGCTTTTCACATACATATTATCCCGCTACAAGTTGTAGTAATAGAAGATATTTAATCTTTCCTTTATTTATAGTCTCAATATAATCAACCACTTTCGCGTATACTTTAGAAACTGAATAAGTTTATTTGAGACTTACTACAACACAATACCTTATTGGTAATCAATTGTGTTTCTCCAAAATAGTATAGTTGGCTCTTGCAAAGTTCTCAATTAATTTTGTAGTACCACATATTCATAAACATTCATATGGTAAATATTTCTTTGAAGAAGGAAGTTATACCATTATGGTAATTGTCAATATTATATGCAAGATCTGTTCCTTGCATCACTGTTGTCCTTTAATAATCACATTACCAGATTATTTTGCCGTAAAATAAGTACATGACCAGTGATCCTTCATGCCATAATGATGACATTATTTTCTTATTTCATCTCAAATCTTCCTCTAGAGGTAAGTGTGGTATATTCACTATCACTAGCACGTTCATATTCTTCCAATAATAAATATGTATTCATAAATCACATGTTGTCACATTCACATCATGAATGGACCATAATCATCTATATGTGCTTTACAAAATCTCATGTCAAATCGATGACAAATATTATTTTCATAAAGTGAAGGATTATTTTGAGAATCCTTATTATTCTCATTACCACAATGATGACGATTATAATTTCGTCTATTGCCACGTCCACATCCACTGATACATTCATAGTAATAATTTTGTCTTCTTTCAGACTTATCACATACTGCTATCACATTCTCTAAAGGGAATGAGAATGGAGCAAATTCAATGGGACGGGTTTTCAATTCTTTGCCCACAATCATACATGAATTTGATCATGGCAAGACATAGAAATTTTACCACTTTGGGTGGTTATAATTTCTTTCAAACTCCATTAGAGTTGCAATTAAAATTTATCGTCTTTGCTTGTTTTTAAAATCAAATTATAGAATGTCAAGAATTTGAAAGAGAAAAGTAAAATACTTACCTTAAATTCAGAATTTAATCATGAAGGAAGTTCATGGAACAATTGACAATCATTATGCTCAATCTCAAAGCTTCTACTCAATTGGTTAGAGTCTCGTGCTGATAACGTGTTATGGAACAATAAAAGAAGAAGAGTATTACAGAGAAAAGTAGGGAGAGAGAACTCTTATTGATTTTGGGATGAATTACAATAGAATACAACCCCTTTATTTATAGGGGAAGAGTGACTTAGCCATCAAGTAACAAACCCTAAGATCTCTCTAAATATATAGACATTCACCATAAATAAAATCTTATTTATAACAAGTTTTTCATTTTAAGAAAACTAAGTTACTTATGGTGACAGTGCTTAACTGATCATATATATATCCCTTATTACTATTTTCTGAAAGTTAAGTATTCGTGCTTTCCAAAGTTAATCATTATCATTGTTAAAAATAAATTAATGAAAATAAAATAAGTACAGGATACAAAAACAAGAATGTTTTTCTTGGAGAACAACAGGGAGAAATTCAAAAATAGCTAAATTTATAAGTGGTCATTCAAAAATAGCTATAGTTTCAAAAGTAATCGAAATTTAGCCATTTTTCATGAAAGATAAATCTGAACGAAATCACTATTTAAAATCCGGAAAAATACTCCAGCATAATATACTGGAGTTTGGAGCACCGGTGCTCTAGTCTCCAGTATATTATACTGGAGCTAGCGAAGTATACCGGTCTAGCTTAATATGCTGGAAGTTCATACACAGGTGCACCGAACTCCAGTATATTATGCTGGACCGGTCTCTGTTGCAGCAAAATAGTGGCTATTTTTTATTGACTTGGAAAATGCTAGCTATTTTTGAATGACCAGTCCGAAAATTGGCTAGACCGTGCTATTTTAACAGAACAACAACGATCCAGTAAAATCTCACGAGTGAGGTCTGGTATACCAAAATTAAACTGCTAGTGAGTATGAATGTAAAATTTAGTGGAAATGATCACTTTGTTTTAGAAAATAACAAAATTCAAAGCCAACCCGCATTAAAGCCGCTACCCGCCCCGCATTAATTTTTTTTAAAATGTTTTAACTCGCCCCGCCCTTGCCCTGCACTCACATAAGAGTAAACCCGTCCCGCCCCGCATCAAACAAAACTCGTCATGTACCCGTCCCGCCCTATTGCCATCCCTATCCACAAAGTATGATCTCGCTAAAAAGAGGCAATTCATTCTGTTTAAAGCTAAATGTTTTTAGTAAAAAAAATTAATAATGGTACTGATGTTCCCCAATACTTCCCATTCCCGTTTTTTTTTTTTTCCTTACTCTTTTCATATGATTGACAAATATTTTCTTGGATGCTTTACTTTGACCTCATATTATGCAAAAATCTTGTTCAAACCACAAGCTCTTATTTCTTTCCGTTTATCTGTGGCCCTTAAACTCACTTTTAATATAATGAATACAAATTTTAATTCTCACTTTAAAAACTGTGTCAACTTTGACCATGTGCGTTTAGCAAAGCATAGTTAGTCTTAAATTGGGATAAAAAAAGGGACTTATACTATCTTCGATCCACAATAAGTGACCAATTTGCCTTTTTATTTTGGTTCAAAATAAGTGTCCATTTATATAACCAAGAAAAAATTCAATTTATTTTTATAAAATTACCCTTATGTACGTATCCCTAAAAAATCTTTTACTCCTTACATTAACTATACTGCAATATTTAATTAAGGGTAGTTTAGTCACAGTAACTATTTTTGTTTAGAATTTAATATTTTCTTAATGGGTGTGGCCAAGACAAATTGATCACTTATTGTGGATCGGAGGGAGTACCTTGACAGCAAATATAATTTTGTAATTATGATGACACTATATGGTTTAATAATGATTGTTGGATTCAACCAAAGAAGTTTCTCAACAATGGAAAGGGAATGCAACTATGTGGGATTTATAATATTAAACCGTAGCTACATTGCAGCCATCAAACAGTGTGATAAGATGGGTAAATTAAAGCTCTCATTCCTAAGCCCTAGAAGTGAAGAAACTTTTGGTAGAGAGTTTCCCCTGTAATAAGCCTTATGCTATGCCAATTAAACTTAGTCGGGTCAGCGTGTTTTTAGATACCGAGTGGTTAAAACCTATATTGCACTAACCATCACTATTAGAAAAATAGAAATTAGCGACTCACAAATTTTGTAGCTAAAGAAAAATTAGCGACATATTAGCGATAGATTATCAAAAAATTCCGTTAGCTAGGAGCAATTTAACGGCAAATTAAAGACGAAATTCGTAGCTGATTCTTTTTTTTTTTTTGGTAGTGCGTGGCCCTCAGACCCATAAGACATGGTGTAAAGGTTGAAGACCAAGGTGCTTTTCTTTCGAAGATATATACTGTACTGTACTACACTACTACCATTAGTTCAGTTCCAGCATATTCTAATAATTCTTGTCCTTTTACTTTTCTTTTCTTGTCCAGAGAAAGAGAGGATGTAAACCGGTGGAGATGACAGTTTAGTTTTCCCTCAAATGACCTCACTCTCACTGTCCCCTTCTCACCAATTTTAGTCTTTAAAGCCATCAGTCTCTTCAAAATGGGACTCCTTAACATTTTCTGCTTTTATGTTTGAGCTCATCTGGTTTATTTATTGATTATGGTATTATCTTGTGGATTTGATTCTTGTGCTTTTTGCTATTACCTTTTTATTTTGGAAGTTAAATAATTTTGGTTCTGCAGGAAGAAGGGTGGCCACTTGGGCTGCAGCCATTGAATGTGAGAGGTGGGCAAGTCAGAAACCGTGGATTTAATGGATCACTTTCCTTCAATACTTTGATCACTGGTTCTCCTTCCTCTTCCACTGATTCTTCTTCTGATCTTGATACTGAGGTCTGTATTTTTTTCATATACATAAAATTAGCTCCTTTTTATGAATAATGTTCTCTACATCCAAAATTAGAAAATAGTAGATATGCAAATACTACTGTTGAAGAGATTGGTTGGTTGAGGATACAATAAGTGGCGGAGCCAGGATATTTTCCAAGAAACTCCAAGGGGATTCAACATGCATGTACTACATATACATAAAAAATATAAGTCGAATTTTATATATATAGTATAATTTTTGGCTAATGAGGTATGGATGAATCCTGTAATGCTCCCTTGCTTCACCCCTAAACACATCAATAATGGAGCAAAGAGGAAGATATGTAAATGTTCCATTGCCTGTTTTTCTTTTCTTTTATTTAATCATCCAAATATCAGGAATTTACTAGTCTAATTAATCTGGATTATATTCTCGTCGAATAGGACTATTAAAATATAAAAGGAAAAAGCATTTACTATTAAATATTTATCTATTTGTGAGGTTCAAACTTAAACTTTTTAACTAAGGATAGAAAGATCTTATTCAAGGGAAGCAGCTATTAATGCTTGTATTAGAATATAATTATTTATATTATATCAAAATATGACTCTTCTCCGATCCTACGTGAACTTGATCGTGCTTTATTTTTTTAAAAGAAAAATCTCATTCATTCATTGCACTTTTGGTGTGTTCGATTTTTCTTTTATGCATGTAGCATCTTCATGTTATACTATATATTGCTATAATGTCTTTTTCTTAGTATATCACTATGGGGTCAATGTCTTATCAAAAAGTGGGAGGGGGAAGCACTTTACTCTTTACACATGGCCTTTCAATTATTATGTTTCCCAGTCTGACTCAGGTTCAAATAAAAAATATATTTCTAATAATTTAAACAAAAAAATCTCTTTCTTTTTATCTTTCTTTTCTTTAATATATATAGATGAATTTTATAATCAAGTAATGGACTGACCCTAAAGTCAATATTCTAAATTGACTAAATCTTTGCATGTTTGGTTTGAACGATGGTTCACCGGAAATAGCGTCTTTATAGGTACAAAGTAGGGGTAAAGTTGTGTACTCTCTATCCTTCTCAACAGAGGCGGAGCCAAAATTTCAACTCTATGGATTCTGAATTTTAGAACAACAATATCAAGTTCCAATAACTTGATTCTAAACTTAATATTTTTTCGTATTTAATAAATTTTTTAATACAAATATACTGTTTGAACAAAAGCTAATGGACTCGATCCATAATCAGGCTTTTAGCTAGCCCCTGCTTCTTAGGTCCCACTTATGGGATTATACTGGATATGTTATTATTGTTGTTGAATAAAACTTTCTTTTCTTTGGTTGTTGCAGTCTACTGCTTCTTTCTTCCATGACAAGAGCATAACTCTAGGAAGTCTCATAGGAATTACCAGCATTTTAGAGCTTTCAAGAAGATCAACAAGAAGAAGAACTGTAGTAGTTGAACCCATATTAAGGGACAAGAAGAAGAGTACTAACAACAAATCAAGAACTTGGTTATTCTCTCTTTGCTCAAAGCTAAGTACTGATGCAGTGAACATAAATACAAACAACTCTACCCCATCTTTAGGCCATTTTCTTGAAGCAGAAAGAAGAGCTTCTGCTTCCAATAATGCTTATGGACCTGATGATTTCAATCATTTATCAGATTCAAATATGAATAATTCATTGTTCATTGGTGGCCAAATTGCTCCTCCTGGCGAGTCAAGAAAAGGGTTATTTGAGCAAGATGAAAATGGTCATGGAAGTCCTTTGATTTTCTCATGCTTATGTGGGAACTTGGTTCATTAATTGACTGATTCCAATCATTTTTTTAAAATGTTGTGAAATTTTATTATCATATTTTTTGTTGTCTCCTTGAAAAGGAACATTTGGTTTAATGGGTAGAGGATTGCTTATTTGATTCACGAGGGGGTGAGCACTAAATTAATTTTCATTCAACATCTTGCGGTCCAACATTAGAGATCACATTTCCAAGTTTCAGCATTGTAATGCTTGTATACTTTTTTTATTCAGATTACCACGTAACATAGAAGGATTTTTTATATTATTCCCTTAGTTCAAAATTAGCCCCGTTTTAACCAAATCAATTTAGTCCAAGGTAAGTGCCATTTTAGAAAAGCAAGAATTCGTTAATTACTTTTTTTTAGATCTACATTAGCTCCAAATAACTGATATATANAGGGGGTAAGAAGCATCACAAAAGGATGTATCTACTCTATTTTAGTACTTTAATTGACTAAAAACCTAATAAGTAACAGTATATGATTTTCATATTAGATGGAGTATTACTTTATTGACAATCATACATAAAACTTGACTTTTGAATTGTAGCTCGTTTACTGCTCTAGCAAAATATTAATTTCAATATGAGTAAGACGTTTAATTGTCGGCAATATACAAATATTGCAAAAATTTGTGTACTTATTTGCGTATCTGCGCTTAATACATTGAAATTTCGTTGACAGTAAAACAAAATTGTTGAACCGTAAATTTTTTTGAAGTATTTCATGAAGTAAATATTGTTCTTATATTTATAGGTTTATAGTAAATTAAATTTATTTAACGTTATTTACCCTGATAACAATTAACTTTGTACGCGGTTTTAAGGATATGTGGATAGATTCAATACAAGTAATTAAGAATATTAGATAAACGAATTAAAGATGAAATCAATAACCAAACAAGTTGTGACGTTAAGTTCGGGCTTGGATTTTAGTTTAACAACAGTTTTACCCTCGACCGGGCCCTCGATTCGAAACCAAATGTATATGGAGAACTATGAATAAAATAAGAACCTTTCAATGGCTAGAAAGCAGAGAAATAAGTTTATAATTCCTTGATATGCGTGTTACAATATGTCTATTGAATAAGAAACCTCTCATTTATAATAGGAGAGTTTTACCCCTAGTATAATTCTAAAAAAGGTAAAAATTCTTCTTGTACATCATCACTTATACGCTACCGGCATCGGGCGAGATCCGCACTGTGATATCCGATTGGGTGCGGATATCACGGCCCTCTGTTAGTCGTGTGCAACCGTTTGTAATGTTTTCCGAGGTCTTCGAACTCGTTCCGGGATCGAGGGGTGTTGTCTTGTCGGGCCCGATGGTGAGCACCCTGTTCCGGCCCCGAACTAAAGAATTCTCAGATTCGGTCTCTATCTCGTTCATTCTTACTTTGTCTAATTCACCGAGAACTCGGGGTGTGTGTTGATCCCAAGTTCACCCGTATACAGATAGTCCCCTCGTTTCTCATAGAGTAAGTTTGCCGAAACGATGGGAAATGATAGATGTACCCCGATTCCTTCCTTCGTACGTTACAACCAAGATGACGAAGAAGCCAAAACGTCCCATCAGTCGTATCGTTCTGACTTCGGACACGTGTCAACCATCAGCTGGTCACCTTCGAATGTGAAACGTCGCGTAGCAATTACATTTTCTCCTCTAAAAGCTTCAACCTTTTATACTTCTTCCACTTTCCGATCTTATCTTTCATCTCTTTACCTTTGATCTTCAAATCTTCATAACTGTTCTCAAGTTTCTGCCCAGATCGTCATCCTACCTTCAAACCATCATATCCTTTTCTTCAAGCCTTCATATCTTTCCTTCAAATCTTCATATATTCATATCACGATGGCCAAGACTTCCAAATCAGTTCCTCAACAGGCTGCTTCTTCATCTTCTTACCCATCCACAGGTACCGAGGCAGCTGTTCCCGAAGTGGTTGCCCTCGAGATGGCTTCTCCCGAGGTGGTTTCTCCCGAAGTGGTTGCCACCGAAGCGGCCCCAGAGCCCCCCATGAAAATCTTTATTCCCAGGGGGCTGTTTAATCGCAGACAACTTCAAAGTCGAGAAGGCCTTATCCAAGCAAGACCAAGGTGAAGGGGCATCGAGATATATATGCTCTGACACCGAAGATACCCTCCCCATTGTCGCGATGACTGTAAATAGGGAGGTAAGGACATAGTAGTCCCTGGGCCTGAGGACGATATCACCACTCATGTGGAGGGGTATTTAAGTATTTAGACTAGGCCCGATAGACCCTGTTATTTTGGAATTATTCAAGAGATACGAGGTGTGCCTTGGGCAAATCCACTCGTCTCTTTGGAGGATCATGATCCTCCCCCGTTACTTTGGGAATAACACTAAGTCTCCTCGATTCACCCTCGAACACCTGCTTCGCCTATATAGTCCCCGAATTTTCCGAGGGGTACTAATAAAGCTCACTCGCCGAGCCAGCAAGGCCCCTTTTTCGAGTATTGATAAGGATTGAGACCGAGGCTGGCAGGGGCGCTTCGTTCGGGTGAAGACTGAAGATTTGATCCCTCTCGAGTTTCTGTCATTCCCCGAGAAGTGGAATGCATCTCGTAAGTGTAATCTTTCCTTAAGTGTTGAGTCTCCTTTGTTTCCTTTCTCACTATTAGTATTCGTGATTGTGCAGCTGTTGCTCGGGTTCCCAATGCTGTCCTCTGGCTCAAGCAGTGGATCGAAGGCATCTACAAGCAGATATCGTATTTTGAGTGCTCATGGCGCAAGCTTTCGAAGGACCGATGGGAGGCTCGTTCTCATTGTAAGGCTTTTCTCATAATAGTTATTATTACGCCCCGAACTTACATAACCCTAACCCTTTCTCTTTCCTTTGTAGGTTTGCCTAAGACCACCGAACTTAGGCCGCTAAAAGGGGGCGAGGATGAGTCCTTGTCCGTTGATCCCTCCGTTGCGGGACAGCTCCTGGTTGTGGCGGAGGATAAGAAGAGAAAAAGGAAATCCTCGGGCTTAGAGGGGCTCGAGGTGAAGATAAATAGAGGGCGGCCACTCGTGCTCGCAAGCCCAAGAAGAGCACCAACTCCCGTGCCGGATTCCAACTCACTTAATCGGCTTAGGGATGAGTCTGAAGAAGATGACATCTTTGTCGCTCACGGATCAACCCCTGGCAATGAGAAGGTGACGGTCGAGGGAGAGAGCTATGAGGCCGATCTCCCCCCAACTCGAGGGGCCGAAATGGAGATGGGGGCTGAGACCTTCCAAGAAGCCACTTCTGTACCGAAAGAAGCGATCGATGTGATAGACATCATGGAGACACCCTCCTACACCGAGTCTATGCTTGAAGAGCCAAGCGGGCAAAGAAAAATCAAGTGAAGGAGCACAAAGTGCAAAAGACCCTCTCCACTCCTTCTTCGAAGGCATGGATATGTCCACATTGGAAGATTTTTCTGGCTGGGCCACCTGGAGATACCGAAGAAGGATGTGCCTTCGAGAGTTGACGGGCCGGGCACGAGCCTAAGATTGGTAAAGCAGTTCCTTGCACCGAGCGCAGACCCCGAGCGTAAGAGGACGGTAGTTCTCACAGTCTCAGAGGATGCCCGGATCCTATCCGCTCCGATAGGCGTAGCCAGCTACCTTCGATGTCTGGTAACCGAGGAGGACCAGACAAAGATGAATGAAGTAGGCACATCGAGTCTCTTCAATGAGACACAACAGACATTAAACCGGGTAAGGTTCTAACACCTTCAAACTTCCCTTATGAATAACTTAAAGTTTCCCTTTGATGTTTCTTATTTAGTTCCCTTTCTTTACAGCCATCAGTGCTTCTCCACAGCTTCCTTCGATACCACTTGGAAACTAGCCAGCTCGAGTTCAACATCAAGGAGTAGGCCCAGAAAAAGGATATGTTCAAGCTCCTCAGTGATCAACAGGATGGGATTATCAAGGACCTTCAGGCTGAGCTGGACAAGGCTCAAAAGGAAGCTTCAATCCTGAGGCGGGAACATGCCGACCTGGTTGAAAAGGTAAAGGTCTTTGAAGTAAAAAACGAGTAGCTAGTCATGGTGACTAACAACACAACCTCACATGTCCAATAGAAGATCGACCTGATCGACCAACTCCAAGTTTAGATGAATGAGATCTAAGCCATGTCTGATGGGTGGAAAAGCAAAATGGACCTGCTGGCTTCGGGCAAGATTTCCTTAAAATACCTTGGCATCGGTCAACCTCTTTTTAGGTTTTGAAGTATGGCCTTTTCTGTTGAGTCCACCTATCCATTCCCACTAGGGTGGTAAGGTGTTGATAGCATCTTTTTAATCTTATGATCTTCAAAGAATTTGTTTACCGTGCTACCGATGAATTGCCTCCCATTATCGCACACGACTTCGACCAGTATCCCAAATCGACATATTATATGGTCTCAGATGAAGTCAATGACTTCTTTCTCTCGAATCTTTTCGAATGCTTGAGCCTCGACCCATTTGGAAAAATAGTCAGTCATGAATTGTATGAATTGAGCTTTACCGGGTGCCCACGGTATGGGACCAACAATGTCCATCCCCCATTTCATAAACGGCCATGGGGACATGACCAAGTGTAGTAGCTCTACTGGTTGATGGATCATCGGTGCGCGTCTCTGGAAGCCATCGCATTTTTGTACGAAGTCCTTCTCATCCTTCTCCATTTCTGTCCAATGATAGTAGCCTTGATTAATTTCCGAACCCAAGATTCGACCCCCGATTGGTTTCCACAGGTGCCTTCGTGAACTTCTCTCAAGGCGTACTCGGTATCTCCCAACCCCAAACATCTGGCTAATGGGCCGTCGAATATTCTTCTGAACATTGTCCCTTTAACCAAGCTAAATCTGGCAGCCTTAGTACGCAGGGCTCTCGATTCTTTAGGATCTGAGGGCATCTTCCGAGTTTTCAAGTAGTCTATGTACTTGTTCCTCCAATCCCAGGTCAAACTCGTTGCGTTTACTTTGGTATGGCCTCTTCTATCACTGACTTCATGAGTTGTACGACTGTTCCCGAACTGAATTCATCGTCATCAACCGATGACAGTTAGCCAGAGCATCAACCTCGCTATTTTGATCTCGGGGTACGTGTTGTAGGTTCCATTCCTTGAATTGATGCATCATT